ATCATATTGAGGAATTAAGAGTCCAACACAGGAATTGGGGGGGTGCACTCAAACCATAACAATAAACATCTATACAGATCAGAACTGAAGCTAGTCAACACACACTATGCTGGATGATGGGAAGAAATGAAAGATGCCTATGACACCATCCCACAAGGAGCTTGCAACCAAGATGAAGAGATGAGACTGACTCATATATTAGGTTGGCAGACAATAGGGCATGATAAGGAAATTTACCAGGCAGTTCTCAGTTACCTGCAGCAGAAACCAGCTTTGGCTAATTGAATCCCAGATGGAAATTGGGGAGCTTGGAGAATTTCCATGACAGCCAGAGAATCAAATCTCGTACTAGGAAAATGTCTCAAATCATACCTGTGTCCCCCACCCCTCCCCTCACTGGACACAGGACACCGTCAGGGCCACTGTACTGCCACCTGCTCTGACCCTCTGCCAGAGACTTCCATTCTCTCCTAGACCAAAAAATGGGCAAGCACATGGATAGGCAGAGCCCAGCAGACCATGCCTATGTTATACCCATAAAGAAGGCTGCAAAAGAAGCTCTAGACATTTCAAATGGTACAATGTGGGGGTGTCTAGATGGGGAGTTCTCAAACTCTAAGAGGGTAGTTAGAGCCTGGGAGGTGAAAAAGAATGATAAACATCTACCACAGAAAATACTCAAATCCTTAGGACTGCACGGAACAGCATATGACAAAGTCCCATAGGATTTCTCAAAACAATAAAAATAAACTGCCAGTGACATCGTCAGGGAACTATGAACTACTCCCATGGTTTGAATGATGGCAAAATTCATGTTGATTATTAAGAGCTGTGGGCTTTGGGAGGTAATTGAGCAATCCTTGTGAATGGGATTGGGTACTTTATAAAAGGATTTGAAGGGGAGAGTTCACACTTTTTTCTTCTCTTTTCTTTTCTTCTACCACCCTTGCCCTGGTCTCTTCCACCATGTGAGGACACAGCAACAAGGTACCATCTTGGAAGCACAAAGCAACCCTCATAACCAAACCTCTTGGTGCCTTGATCTAGGACAATTTTGAGAAATAAATTTCTTTTTTTTTTTGTTTTATTTTCTTTCTATTTTTTGTTTTATTTTCTTTGGGGTTTTTGGCAGCACTGGGGTTTGAACTCAAGACTTCATGCTTGCTAGGCAAGTGCTCTATCACTTGAGCCATGCCTCTAGCCCTTTTTTGCTCTACTTATTTTTCAGATAGGCTCTTGTGCTTTGGCCAGGGGACAGCCTCAGACCAAGATCATTATAGCTGGGATGACAACTGTGGCCTCCCATTGTAGCTGAGATGACAGGCAAATACCACCACACCTAGCTTACTGAGATGGGATCTCGCCAACTTTTTGCCCAGGCTGGCCTTGAACTGAGATCCTCCTGATCGCTGCCTCACAAGTAGCTGGGATTACAAGCATGAGTCATCATGCCTGATTAATTTCTGCTGTTTAAAAACTACTCAATCTGAAGCATTATATTGTAGCAGCATAAATGGACTAAGACAGGTACTTAAAGAATAGGCCAAGAGTGGGTGCACAGAGCATTACACGAGGGAAAAACATGGCTCATACTTTCATAAAAACAGAAGCATCGGGAGCCATCTGGACCTCCATCCCAACCACTACAGGAACCATCTCTACAATCACACAAGGGAAGGTGTGGATATAGGGGTGTCAGCATAGCTTGGAGGATGCCAATATAAACATCACTAGCTCCAAAGGAGAATCTTATCTCTTCCATTTTTCCAATTTATACAAAAGGAATCACTGATCCTCCAGGTTCATCTTTAATTCTTCTCCCTTCTTCCCTACTTATACAAATGGTCAACTTCAGCTGATTGGTCCCATTTTTATCCTTGTGCTTGGATTCCCCAAACCACTTCCTGTATGATCTTCCAGACTTCCATTTGTCTTTTCAAATTGTTCCACGTATTACTATATGATTAATGTTCTTAATGTAGCTTTCATGAAGTGATTCACCAGCTCAGACAACCATAATGACTCCCAATTGCCCACTGTATCAAATCTAAACACATCTCCATGCACCAACTAGCTCAGAGATGCTCTACATCCATCACTCACTAATGATGAAGAAATATGTCCATGATCTTCCAACCAGTCTCAGTCACTCGATTTGTTTTTTCTTTTTTTTTTTTGTGGCACTGGGGTTTGAACTCAGAGCTTTGTGCTTGCTAGGCAGGTGCTCTACAACTTGAGCCATGCCCCCAGCACACCTTATCTGCTTTCTTTCTTCTTCTTTTTTCTTTTTTTGATTTGTTTTTTGACATGAACAAAAGCCATATTTTAACAATTTTCTCATGATCTTCTGCAGTTAGATATATCACATTGAAATGAGTAATTCTACAACATGTCACTTTCCAAGGACTGTAGAATTTTATATCTCTAGAGCTTCCAGATTTTGGTAGGACTGGGGATGGTGGTTCACTCCTGCAATCTCAGCACGTAAGAGGCTAAGGCAGGAGGATTGTGAGTTCAAGGCTAAACTCCAACAGGCTGTTGGCTAGCTCTCTACTGCATGCTTTTATCCCACTGTTCATTACTTTGTTATATACTTCCTCTGCCTCTCTATGATGGGCATAATTCTTTTTATTTGTGTTGCCTTCTTTCTTCTAGTCCTTCTTTCCACTCCATAATGATTTAGACTTTCTAATTCTAGCAACTTGCTTTATTTATCTTATTCATCACCTAATAAATAATTCCAAGATAATTCAGCCACCTATCTATGCCATTGGCAAGATATCCCATTGGCATATGCCATATATCTTTGCTACCCAGTTAGCAAGCATAAGCTATAGATAGGAGAAAGGAAAATGAAAAAGGAAGAAAAAAATAAAAGAGGAAATAAGTTGAGAAGGGAAAATAATAACTACCATTATCAAGTGTTTACAGTGTGCCATTTACTTTCTATATATTACCTCTAATCCTCAGAACCACCTTACAAAATATATACTGCTGTCTTCCTTTTTAAAATAAGATGGAGAGTTCAATGGCTCACCTGAGCCTATACATCTTAGTAAGGATTAGAGATTAAAAAAAATTGCATCCCAGGTTAATTAGCCCTCCAACATTTTGCCACTATGGAGTTGCCCCCTCCATACCAAAGAACAAGAAAAACAAAGTGAAGACAGGTAAGTCTTTACCTGTCTTTAGCTCCTCAAAAATAGTACAGCATATGTTGCCAACAACTATCTAGAAATAGATACAATTGTTTTCCCCCTTATCCAGCTTTACTTTCTGTGGTTTCAATTTCCTGCAGCCAACTGCAGTCTAAAAATACTAAACAAAAAATCCCAGAAGTAAACAACTCACAAGTTTCAAATCGCACACCATTCTGATGATTCTTGCTCCATCCCAAATCATCTCCTTGTCTAGAATATCTACACTGAATACACTACCCACTCAATAGTCACTTAGCCATCTCAGTTATCAGTTCCACTGTAGCAGTACCACAGCGATTATGCTCAGGTATCCAGTATTTTACCAGTGGTGGCTCCAAAGCACAAGAGTTGTAATGTTGCAAATTTATTACAGAACATTGTTATAACTGTTCCATTTTATTATTAGTTACTGTTGTTAGGTTATTTCTGTACCTCATTTATAAATTAAACTTTATCATAGGTATATAGGTATGTATGTATATGAAAAAACATAGTATATACAGGGTATGCTACAGTCCAGGGTTTCAGGAATATTGGTTTCTGTTCTTGGAATATAATTCCCAAGGACAAGGGGGGCACAATAGTATTAATTTTTCAACCTAACAAAATATTCCTCTCTTAAATTCTTATTCCTTTAGTTTACAGAGAGAGCTAAAAGTGAGGAGGGTGTAATTTGTACTATTTACACCCTCCTCACTTTTACTCCTCAGTCTAATTTACATCTGTCCCTTTTTAGTTTTGGCTCATGCTAACCTTTTAAGAATCTTTTTGAGCTGGGTGCTGGTGGCTCACACCTGTAATCCTAGCTACTCAGGAGGCCAAGATCAGGAGTATAGCAGTTCAAAGCCAGCCTGGGCAAATAGTTCGCAAAACCCTATCTCGAAAAATATCCATCATAAAAAAGGGGGGAGGAGGCTGGTGGAGTGGCTCAAGGTGAAGGCCCTGAGTTCAAGCCCCAGTACTGCAAAAAAAAAAAAGAAAAAAAGAATCTCTTTGAGCTGGCCTCAGTGACTCACCTCTGGCTACTCAGGAGACAGAGATTAGAAAGATCTTAGTTCAAATACAGCCCAGGCAAATAGTTCAAGAGACATTATCTCAAAAATACCCAACACAAGGCAGGGACTGGTGGAGTGGCTCATGCGGTAGAGTGCCTGCCTAGCAAGCGTGAGACCCTGAGTTCAAATCGAAGTACCGCCAAAAAATCATTCTTGTTTATTCCCCTTTTGCCTTATTTCACGATCTTCCTTAGATCTTGGACAAGCATTCTGTCACTAAGATACACCCCCAGCCTCCATTCCATTCCTTCTACATCACCCCCTTTTCTCTTATACCTCTCAACCTTCTCATTTTCTACACATTTCTCTTGAGTGGTGTCTGCTGCCCCACCACTACCCTTTATCTTCCTGTTCTCCATATTATTCCCCCTCTCCTACATCCAATTCTCACCCTGTTCCCTCACAAGTGTCATTCCCTTTCATTAGTCCTCCCTGCACCCTCACAAACTCCATCGATCGTCTCATTCACCTCTCACCCCTTTTCCCGCCTTTTCCCCCCCTAAGGCTCCAAAGCGCGAGGACCGCATTGTCCTCTTCCCCACCATCCTCCATCCAACCCACAAGACAACCTTGTTACCATGACAACCGAGCTTCTCTAAGCTGAAGTCAAGGACCTGGTTGCCATGGCTTCCGCTTCTCCGCCTCCAGCCCCGCCCGCGCGCGGCTGCAGCGTTGGCGCCTGCGCAGTACGCTGCGCGATGGGTCTCCCGATCCGGGGCGGAATGGGGCGGGGCCTCAGCCGGGAGGGAGGGAAGGAAGAGAAAGGATAAGAGAGGGAGTGGAGCTGGCGCCTACGGTGGCCGAAGAGGGACGCGCTGAGCCGGAGGCTGCAGGATGGTAGGTTGTGCAAAGAGGGAAGGGAGGGGGAACCGAGGGGCGTGGGCTGCACCTGCGGGGGTCCTCGGGGGCCGCCCTTGGAGGGAGTCGCTCTGTCTTCCCTCGAGTCCTCAAAAGCCCCACTTCCCTGAGCCGGTGGGCGAGCCGGCCTGAGAAGGAAGAGCTGGAAATGGCACTCGGGAGAGGGGCGGGGAGGGGACACGTTTGTAGGGCGAAAGGGGACCGATTAGGGGGCGACAGGACCGTCAGAGCTCGGAGAAGTACTCCGGTCTTGGCACTCGGTCCAAGGGACCCCGAGCACTGCCGCAGGGAAGTGGCTGGAGGAGAGGGTCGCTAGGGTCTGTTCGGGGAGGGAGGGAGCAGAGGTCGCGGGTCACCGAAACCCTCTTCAGTGCGACTGGAGCAGGGCTTATGGGGGAGCAGAGTGTGGGAGAGGATAGTTTCCGGGTTTGAGGAGTGAACGCCCTGCCGGGGTTCCTGGCCATGCTCAGCCCAGAGCTGGGCTGAGATGTGCAGGCGGCGTGGGCTCCACGATTTGCTGTCGGGGACCCAGGCTTTGGGATCCCCAGGTCCGGTGCTCTTAGAGCTGCACCTTCCCCCTCCCCCTTAACCCGTTCTTTTTCCGGAACCCAGGCCTTCCGTCTTCCTGCTAGCTACTCCCACCACCCCCCCCACCCCCGATTTTAGACTTGCTAGTCTCCCTTGCGCCCCTCGGTTCTCTTCATCCACCACCAAGGGGGCGCACAGCGGGGGAGGAGGGGTGAGAGGAGACAATTCTCCTGAATTTTAATTTTAGCTTACTAAACTAGTACGGTTGCACACCCCAGTTCCAGCCCTGGTAATGTCCACGGAGAGGAGAACTGCTGGAAAATGAGTCCACGATGTGGCGCCTGGAGCCCTGGTACTGGAAAGCTGGGGCGCACTGGGTAGTAAGAGCTCTGCACCCCATCACACTCCACCAAGCATGCCCTTTGATCTACAGATATTCCCTAGGGGAGCCACCCTGAGTGATAATGTCCCCAGTGAGGAACTGAAAGGGAGACTGGCCACCTGGTATCTGGGAAAGAGTGGGTCATAGCAGGAGTATCCTAAAAGAAAGAAAAGTTAAGTGAAAATTATAGGGACCAAGCCAGGCGCTGGTGGCTCATGCCCATAGTCCTAGCTACTTGGGAGACTGAAATCAGAGGATCAAGGTTAGAGATCTCATCTCCAAAATAACCAGAGCAAAATTGATTGGAAGTGTGGCTTAAATAGTAGAGCGCCTGCTTTGCAAGCATGAAGCTCTGAGTTCAAACCCCAGTTCCACCAAAAAAAAAATTAATAATATTAAATAAATATAGGGACCAAGTGCATGGGTGGCTGAGGAAAGAGAAGGGTGGAATTTGAACATTCCTGATGGCAAATGTGGTGTTGGATCTATGTCCATATGTGGAGAAGGATATCGTGGGCCTAACAGTGGCTGGCAGTGTGTTGGGGACATCAGCCACAGCTTGTGGCTAAGGCTAGGTGGGGATTTGAAGTAACAGACAAGATACCCAATCAACATGGCAGTGAATAGACAGACAATAGAAGATAACTGGCATCTCTTTGGCATCACTATGATTTGCTTGTCACTTTGCTGACATTTTGCTTCCTTTGGAAATTAGAGTTAGGAAACAAGCCATCAGGGAATAGTAATAATATCTAACATGTTATATAGTGCCTAGTATGTGCTAGGCACTGTTACATATATCAACTCATTTAATCCCTCTAACAGCTCTATAAGGAAGGTAATTTTATCATTTCCATTTTACAGATAAAGAAACTGAGGATGAAAGACATAAAGTAATTTCCAAAGACCATACCGAACTAGGAGAGCCAGGATTTGAACCCAAATGAGAGGCAGAAGCTCCAACTTCCCCCAGAACGAAAGATTCCTGTTGGTGGGAATATCCAGAATTTACAGCAAGGGGCTGGATTTTTTTTTTTTCTCGGCAGCACTGGGGTTTGAACTCAGCACCTCACACTTACTAGGCAGGCACTCTTACCACTTGAACCACTTCACCAGCCCTTTTTTTGTGATGGGTTTATTCAAGAAAGGGTCTTTTTTAACTATTTGCCTGGGCTGGCTTCAAACCAAAATCCTCCAGATCTCTGCCTCCTGAGTAGCTAGGATTACAAATGTGAGCCACTGGCACCTGACTTGGGCTAGATTTTTGAAACAAGTAGGAGCTGAGAGTAGAGAAGACTAGACTGGAGTGTTTACGGAGAAAAGCGACTCAGAACGAAATCACTGCCCCTCAGCTCTGGTCCTCCCTCTCCTCTAGATGCGATTCATGCTGCTGTTCAGCCGGCAGGGGAAGCTTCGGCTGCAGAAATGGTACCTGGCCACATCAGACAAGGAAAGAAAGAAGATGGTTCGGGAGCTTATGCAGGTTGTTCTGGCTCGCAAACCCAAGATGTGCAGCTTCTTGGAGTGGAGAGACCTCAAAGTTGTCTATAAGAGGTGACACTCCACCTACTTTCTGACTGCTGGATTGGAGTTAGGCAGTGGGTTAAAATCGCTGAGAAATAAGTGTGTCTAAGGTCAGAGAGAACTGAGAGCTAAGGACACATGGAAGACAGTGATAAACAACAGCTTCTGTTACTTTCCAAACTCCCCCTTGAAGCAATTCTTGTTCTCCACTTGGTTTTGCTCGAGCCTGACTCTTGCCTCCTGCACAGACTTCTGTCAGGCTCTATCTTGTCCATGACACATGTCCCTTGCAATCTCATTCATTATTCAGAGCCCTGCCCCACTTTTCCTAACATCTACATACACACATGCGCACACACACTCTGGTTCCTTCTCTGAGCAGGTGAATTAGTTGGTTCAGGTTTTTGCTGAGTCAAACTGAGCAGGTCAGAGGCCAGGAAGGAAAGAGCATGAATCTTTGCTTGTTTCTGAGGGCAGCAAGAGACAGAATGAGTTACTCTGCATATTCTGAGGTTGCCCTGCTTGTGTTTGCCTGTGTTCAGTCAGGACACAGACCTTGGGCTGGTCAGAGGTTCAAGCCCAGATTGCCTGGGTCCCAAAGCCAACTTCCAGATATGCCTCATGTGCCCCCTTCTCAGGTATGCCAGCCTGTACTTCTGCTGTGCCATTGAGGGCCAGGACAACGAGCTTATCACACTGGAGTTGATCCACCGATATGTCGAGCTCCTGGACAAATACTTTGGCAGTGTAAGTCTCCCTTTTCCATACCCAGCAATCCCCTCTTTGTGCTAAACTTTGAGGAAAGCCCATCTATCTAGTCTCTGCCCTGGAAGTCTCAGGGGAGGGTTGAAGTTGGAGCCGTGAGAACTTAAATTAATCTCCCTTTTTAAGCTCTAAGCCTATTAGCCAGGTCCCTTAATCAGCTCTGGGATGGAGAGAAGGGGGGAGGGAGAGGGCAGAATCTGGCACTTAATCTCCATAGGGAGCTCAGTCCAAGGACAGAGACCAAGTTCAGATTTTGGCAGTGGTTCCTGACCTTGGCTTTGTACTAGATCTTCTGGAGAGTTTTTCAAAAAACAGTGATGCCTAGACTCCCACCCCCAAAGAGTTCCAGTTAACTTTTCTGGGCTTTGGCAGATAGTTCATATCTTAGATGTAGCATAGTAAAGACTTCATAATTTGTATCCCGCTTAAAAATTTACAAATCTCTTTTGAGTTCTCTTGTTTGCTCCTCATTTGTCCTATAGGTAGGTGTTGGTATCTCCATTTTTAGATGGGAAAACTGAAGCTCAGAGATATTCCCTGATGTGTACATCTAACTTAGTATTGGCACAGCCCTGCTTGGGATTCAGGTCATACACAACATGGACCAGGATCTCTTCCTTCCCTTCCGCACAGCGCCTCCCTTGGGCAGGAGAATTGCCCAGCCTCTAGTGGGAAAAAAGCCACAGATCTTATGGGAAAGACAACAGGAATCACAGACAAGGATAGATTGGGACAACCACTATTTTAGGATCAGAGAGAAAAAAGCGAGAGGAAGGGAAGAAGACTGGGTGTGGTGGCACTTGCCTGTAATTGCAGCACCAAGCTACATAAACCTGGCCCCATCTCAAAAAAAACACAAAATAAAAAAAAAAAAAACAGGAAAGGGAGAAAAAAATCCAAACTAAGTACTAAGGCCTGAGGGTTAAGTGGGCCTGAGACTGGCAGCAAGAAACCAAGGTGGGCAGTGGGAGACTGGGGTGCATCTCAACTCTCAACTCTGCCCTTTCCCAGGTGTGCGAACTGGATATCATCTTCAACTTTGAGAAGGCTTACTTCATCCTGGATGAATTTTTGATGGGGGGGGATGTCCAGGACACCTCCAAGAAGAGTGTGCTGAAGGCTATTGAGCAAGCCGACCTGCTACAGGAGGTATGGAGCAGGGACAGTGAGGAGGATGAGTACTGTGGCAGAGGGGACCTTCCCTCTCCTGGACACTCTTCTCATCTACGACGGGGCCCCCTCCCTGTGGTGTCTAGCCCCCACCACGCCCAACTGTACAGCTTGCCTTCAAGCCCTGATCCCACAAGGTGGAAGGTAGAGCTGATGGCTCTCCTTACTAATTGTCTCCTCCTCCTTCCAAGCTCTGTCCTCCTCCAAGACCCAAGGAGTCTCTGGTCCTGGCCAAATCTCTTTGACTCCTTAAACACTTCTCTTGGCCTTAAGGATTTCTCAGAGAGTTGGAGAAGAGATAGATGGTAGATCAGACTTTTCTTCCCTGATTTCATCCCCATTTGTGTGTGTGTGTGTGTGTGTGTGTGTGTTGCTGGGGATTGAACCCAGGGCCTTGTGCATGGTAGGTGAATCCTTTACCAGTGGAACTATGTCTCTAACATTTGTCACCATCTCACCACAGACACACACACACACTCAAAAACCTCTATTTCTTACGAACAAAAGGCTGTCAAGGTTTGGGCTGGGTTGGAGGGCGCCTAGATGTTGGATGTTGGATGTGTGCTATCTAATGCCCCATTCCTGCCTGCCCCCTCTCTGCTGTGCCACTGTTGAGTCTTGGTGCAGGGAGATGAGTCACCAGAATCTGCAGTGATGAGCTGGCCTAAGCTGGCTCTGAGGAGGGGGAGAGATGAGGGTGGGGGGTGGGGATGCGACAGGGGCTCATCCCTGCAGGAAGAGAAAGGGCAGAACTGAGCTTGCCACCCCACTGGTCCAGCTTACACACACACACATACACATATATACACACATACATGTGCCCTGGCACATACAACCCCCAGTTACCAGTGCTCTGCTCAGACCCTAATGACTCATCTCTCAGCAATCTGGTTCACCTTCCCTCTGGGACCTGGTGCCAATCTCTAACAACCCCTTCCCAAAAAAATAGGACCCAACCATCTGCAACCCCTCTGAATAACAGGTTTCCTCTTCATGCCTTTATGCTTCAAGTTCTAAGGCTGTTTCTCCCCAGCTCTGGGATTTGGATTCTAGGTGGTGATGGACTCCTTGCCACTGTGGGTGCTAGGGGTGGGGCGTGGAGGCCAGTGAGCTCCCCGAAAGGGCTCATAGCGTTCCAGCCTTGGGCTCATGTTGGCTTTTCTCCCCCACCTCATGTCTCTCTGTGCTTCCCCCACCCCAACTCCTGCCTCATCGTGACTGCTGTTATCTTGCCCACCCTGTCTGCCCCTCCTGGTGTCTCTGTGTCACTGTGTCTGTCTTTGCCTCAGGAGGATGAATCGCCTCGCAGTGTGCTGGAGGAGATGGGTCTGGCATAACCCGAACTGGCCGGGCCCTGGAGACGGGGGAGCCTGGGGAGAGGCAGGACATGGTGGCTGCTTCTCCCACATCCCCCCCAGGGCCCTTCTCTTGGTGGGACCCAGCTGCCCCTCCTCTGCCACCTCACCCTTGGAGGGAGCTGTGGGCTCTGGCCCTTCAAACATTCCTTCCCTCCACCCCCTACCTTTCCCAAGGAAGGTTTTAGGAGCTAGGAGGCAGGAAAGTATAACCCAGACAGGGGTGCTATTTGGCTTTCATTCCTTACCTTTGAGGAACCGATGTTAACCCAAACTTACTCCTCTCCCTTTCACTGTAAATATATAAATATGTCAGGTTAAAGGGAAAAGGTTTTCAGGGCTCTTCTCTCCCCTCTGTCCCAAAACCTACCTCCACCCCTCCCCTTAGCCAGCCAGGGCAGCTTCTCTGCCTGGGAGGGGGGGGGCTTTTCCCTCACCTGCCCCCACTTCCTCCTCTGCTGCATTGGGGCCCCTTGTCCAATGCCAGGAGAGGAACAACATAGTTAATTTTTTTCTAACTTTGCCACTTTGAGGGAAGGAAGGGCTGGGGGAAGGGCGGACTTTCTGGGACACAGGCCCTGCTCCTCCACTTGACATTCTGGGTGTGGCAGGAGCTAAGGGGTGGGGTGGGCAAAGTATCTGCCTTTATTTCCTTTCTTCTGAAATAAAAGAAAAAAACATTTCTGGACTTTACTTGTCTCTGGCTCTGTGAAGGAGGACTGGGCTACTCACAGGATGCCACTGGCTTCCATCAGGAGGACAAGGGCACATTGCCCATTATTAGCCTTTTCGACAAACAGGTTTCCAGGCTTAGGAAGAAAAAAAAAATAGGGGACATACAGTTAAATATGAATGGCAGATATCCATCCTGTGCAGTGTTGGGGATGCATTTATTCTAAACACATGTCCATTTGTTTATCTGGAGTTGAAATTTAGATGTCCTGTACTTTATCTGTCACCTTCACTGCAAACAGATTTGTGTGTTCATTTCCTCTATTACCCCTGCCTTCACCCAGAGAGGGACAAATCCTGGGGACGTGTATGGTCCACTTTTAAAATTTCTTTGTGCAGTATTTAATGTTACAGTTTTATATGGGGAGGTAATGAGTTCAAGGGTTCATGCTTATTAAAGGATTGAGAAATGGCTTAAAGCAGGATGTTTCTGTGTCTTGCCAGCCCCTTTTTACACTCCTTGTGAAATACCTAGGACCTGGGAGTTCCCAGAGAAAGTGAAGCGAATTGTTGGAACCCCCAGGACCATGGTAAAAAAAATCCCCAGAGCACAGTGCCTAGTCAGACTGTGAGGTGACTTTTTATTTTGAACTAGAAGCTTGCTAGGCTCATTGTAGACAACTGGTTCTTCTGCCAAGACCTAGAGAGTCCTAAGGACTTTAACCTTGCCTTGGGAATGGGGTTTCTTAATGAATGAAATACTTCTCTCTTCCCAAATACAGTATCACATCTTTTCCCCCACTCAACCTTCGCTTTGGTCTGGGGAGGAGGTTGGGGTAGGAACCAAAGGAATATAATTGGCTCTGTGGTTGGCGCTTCCTTCACCGCCCCTTGGGAAGGACCACAAGAGGCCCAAGGGGACGGGTGAATAACGGAGAACAAAGTCCTAATAAAATAGTCACTTTTATTTCTTAGCAAAACTATTTCCTCCGTGAGGGGTATTTACAACGGGAAAGAACGGGTAACTTCACAGCGATTTGGAGAGGGTAGAGAGGCTCAGGGGAGGCCCGAAGGGCGGGAGACAGACACACTTTTTCACACAATTAATTGGAACTGCTTTTCCGGTTTCGGACGGGGACGTCCCGAGCGAAACTAGACGGGGACGGTTCCCCGCGGGGGAGGGAAGAGGAGGGAACTCGCACAAACCACCAGCCTGCCTGGTCAAGCCCCGGATCGCCCGTAAGTTTTGGGAGTTCGCGCTTCGGACCCGGGAAGAGGTTTAGCAGGTCCCAGCAAAGCCCGGGAACCTGGCGGCCCGGGGACAGGGCGGGGCTGGGCGGCAGCCGAGGGGCGGGGCCAGGGTGCATGCAAACACCGAGAGGGCGGAGGAGTGACACGGAGGGGGGAGTGGCGGCGCGCGCGACTGGGGCGCGCGGGGGCGGGGCCTGGGCGGGTCATGGGCGCCGGAGCAGCACGTGCTCGATGTAATTCTCCAGCTCCTCCTGCTCCTGCAGCCGGCGCTCCTCCGCCTCTGCCTCCTCCTGCGCGCGCCGAGCCTGGGCCTCCGGGTCGGGATAGTGGCGTGAAGGAGGCAGGGCGTGGTGGAAGTGGCGGCGGCGGAAGGCTGCAGGAGGCTGCAGTGTTCGCGGCCGAATGTAGTTGGGAAAAGGGTGGTAGGGCCCTGGGGGAAACACCTCATCCTCCTCCCGATCCCAGGGTGGGAGCACTTCGTTCCAGTCCGGCAGCTCATCTCGAGCGGTGGCGGGGGCAGGAGGAGGGGGTTGCGGAGAGCGGACGTGGGCGGGGGCGGGGGCGACCCGAGGAGGCGGCACAGGCTCTGGAGGGGCGTTCTTCTTCCGCTTCCGCTTCTCCTCCACCTCCTCGATGATGCTGACCACGTCGTCGGCTGGCAGGTGGAGTTTGGTGGACAGCTCAATGAGGCTATCTATCGTCTGAGGGTCCATCTCCTCGTCGTCGTCCTCCTCCTCCCCGCCCTCTTCCGCCCCCTCAGCCTCCTTCCTCCGGTGGCCTGGCGTCTCCTCTTGGGAGCGCTTGTCCTCGGCTCCGGCTTCCCCGTCCTCCTCCTCCTCCGCAAACAGTAGCGCGTTCTGCCGCGCCCTCTCCGCCTCCTCCGCCTCGGCCTCCGCCTCGGCCGCCTCCTCATCCTCTTCCTCCACCCTTTCCTCCCCGCCGCGTCTCTCCTGCTCCGCCTCCTCCACCCTCTCGCTCTGTCGCCCCTGCTGCGTCTCCTGCAGCCCCCGACCCCCCAGGTCTCGCTGATGGGCCCCGCCCTGCAGCAAATATTGGAGCAGCAGGTCCGAGGCCAGGTCTGCCAGCCGCTCTTCCTGCGCCGCGGCCTGCCGTGTGGCCTCCGCTTGCCGCCGCCCGGCCTCTACCTGCGCCAGCCCTTGCTGTAGTAGGCGCTCCCCGGCTTCGGAGCCGCCCAGGAGTGAGCTCTCCAGCCGACGCGCCTTGGGGAAGGGAGCGCCCAGGCCTTGGTATGCCTTGGATAAGGGTGCCAAAGCCTCGCCTAGGTGTGTTTTAGGGGAGGACAGTCCTTCCCCGAACTGGTGGGTTTCGGGAAGGGGCCCATTCTCGGGCATACGCGCCTGGAATTGCGAGGGGGCCGGGGGCGACAGAGGCGCGCGCTCTGGAACGCGCGCCTGGAACTCTCCCCAGGAAGCGCGCCACACACGCTCCGGCCCAGGACTCTCCAGATTGACTCGGGTCAGCGTGTGCGTGCGGGTTTCCGTCTCTGCAGCCGCTGTCTCTTGCTGGCGCTTGGCACTGCTCGGACTGAAATCTCGAAGTTCCTGGAGCAGCGACGCTAGCGTCTCGAGCTCCTCAGAGGGGTCACCCGCCTCGGGACCATTCTCCTGAGTCTGAGGACGAGGCGGAGCCGCGGGCGCTTGGGTCTCTGGCGCCGGGAGGCTGTGGGTCTGGCTGCGCACGGTCTCGGTCAGCAAAGCTTCTGCCGCTGCCTCTCCTGGCTCCTGCTGGGAGCCGCCCGGCGCCGGGGGTGAAGCTGGGCGGTCAAGTGTCTGCAGCAGCACCGCGGCCAGCGCCCGAGGATCCACGCCCTGGAAAAGCTCTCCCTTGTCCTGCGGCTCGGAATTTCGAGCGGCTCGGACCTCTGGGGTGCTGTCATCCTTTGGCCCGGGCACTGCGTCCCCAGCTACTGGCTCCTTACGCTCAGAGCTGAGGGGAGGGGGCTGGGCCTCAGGGCGCCCGGGAGGCGCTGCACCCAGCCCCTTGACCAGTAGTAGGAAGAAGAGGACGGAAGCCCGCAACCTGAGGGATTTCATGACCAAGGGGCTGCCAGAGACTGAAAAATAGAAGGAACAAAAAAAGAGGTGATTTCTGTAAGAATTCCCAGCGTTCTATTTCTATAGTCCCTACCCCCACCTTTAAGCAGGAAATTCCAGGGCTTCCCTCATCCCTCTAACCTTACCCAGAGGAGGGATGTTTAGGAGCAAACCAGGAAGATATGCCGATCTCTGGAGTCGTGTAAATGGAAAAAGAACACCCGCAACCCTCGCTCACCCAGTGCCTCCTCGCCCCCTTCCCTAAGCCATCTCACTGCCAGCGCCCACGTACTAAGCAGCAAGGATAAGGGGGGGGGGAAATCTCTGCTCCCTCCCCGCAGGACTTCCCGGATGGTGCGTGGGCGACTTCAGCAGCAAGAGAAAAGCTGCGACTCCCCCATATACCAGGGACCCTTACAAGGGGCACCCCTGCTGTGTTTTAACACCCCCATCGGACGAGAAGAGAACCCTCCCTCACACCCACGGGTGTTGAGGGTTTGCGGGACGGACAGCGGAGTATTTACCAGCCGGTGTCACGACGCGGAAAGTGTAGAGGAGGGTAGGGGTAGGGTAGGGACAGGGGAAAGATCGGGACCCGTCCGCCTTGGCTCCGAGCGATGGCTGGAGTACGAGCGACGGTCGAGGTCTGGCGTCCAATGGGCTGGGCTCTGCTGGGTCCGCACAGCTCCGGGCTGCTCGCTCGCTCCGACTTCAGCACGCTGGACAGCGCCCGCGAGTCCGCTGCCTTATAAAGGGGAGCGCTGGGGGTCACGTGGGCAAGCCCCGCCCCATTGACGTCAATGTTCATTCATGGGGAAGCGGGCGGGCGCCGGGTGAAGGGAGGACGCCCGGTGATTGGAGGACTGGAGCAGCTCCCGGTCTGCGCCTGCGCACTGGAGCCCTGGGCTGGAGGGGCGTGAGCTAGCTAAGCTCGGAGAAATGAATGAATGAATGAATGAATGAATGAAATGCTGGGGCGGGCGGGGCAGGGGGCTATGAATGAATGAAGGAGGACGATGAGAAAAGGATGAATGAATGAATGGGAGAATGAATGGAAGGGTGGATGCAGAGACGCTAGAAGGCGGGAGGGTGGGTTACAAAGCAACCTGCAGCTGCGGAGCCCGTGTTGCTGAGCAGAATGGAAAGGGGACACCCCCAGCGTCTGAGTGGGCACCAGTAGGAGATCAATACTGGGTAGGGGGAGGATAAAGATTTGAAAGCCGGAGAGGGGACCGGGCGCCCTAACCCGCGACCGCCCGGTCCAAGGGGAACACGCCCAAGGACGGCGTGAACCTTAGTGAAGAGAGGCGGATCTGCGGGCGCTGCCTGCGAATCTGCGGTGCGGGGTGCCGGCACAGGGCCCCGGCCGATGGGTGGATCTTGCGGTTTGGGTAATCACATGGGAAAGGGTCCGAGTCAGAAGAGAAAGGGGGAAAATTGAGGATGTGTGTGCGTGCCTCTGGGTCGTGTCTATTCATGACCAATTCGTGTCGGAAGAAAAAGGTGTGTCTGTCCTTCTGTCCAACTGAATGCCATGCATGTCGGTGCCCCGCTGTACCCCTTTTCAGTCCACCTCTCTCCATCCTCCTCCAGCTTCTTTCCCTCCCGCGGCTCCCCCCACCCAAGGACATTTGGAGGGCGAGAACAGACCAGGTGGGGAGGGGGTTGCGCAGGTGTGTGTGGGTGACTCAACTCCGGCTCCCT